AAATGAATAAATGAATATTTAATAAATAAATAAATAAATAAATAAATAAATATTGTTTTGGGGGGAAAAACACATGCTGCGAGATTGCTGCTGGTGGTTCCTCTTCTTGCAACTGCAATCCAGCAATCATTTTTGGTGATGGAAGGTTTTTCCCCCACCCTCATCCTGAGACTCCCAAAGGCTTCCCCAGAACAAAAACAGAGTCCTGGGGAGCCTTGGAAAATGAATGAATGAATGAATGAATGAATGAATGAATGAATGAATGAATGAATGAATGAATGAATATTGTTTTGGGGAAAAAAACACATGCTGCAAGATTGCTGCCGGTGGTTCCTCTTCTTGCAACTGCAATCCAGCAATCATCTTTGGTGATGGAAGGTTTCTCCCCCACTCTCATCCTGAGACTGCCAAAGGCTTCCCCAGAACAAAACAGAGTCCTGGGGAGCCTTGGAACATTAAATAATAAGAAGAAGAAGGGGGCAGGAAGTAATAAAATAAAATTTATATTAAATTTCATTAATCTCAAATAAATTTTAGTGGTGCCAGTTGACACCATCAGCTTCTGCTGTGTAAATTAATGCAAATAAAATTTGGGGCAAAATTACTTGAGCATTTCTGTTCTCTATCTTTATCCTCTGTTTAATTCATTAGTTTGAATGAATGAATGAATGAATATTGTTTTGGGGAAAAAAACACATGCTGCAAGATTGCTGCCGGTGGTTCCTCTTCTTGCAACTGCAATCCAGCAATCATCTTTGGTGATGGAAGGTTTCTCCCCCACTCTCATCCTGAGACTGCCAAAGGCTTCCCCAGAACAAAACAGAGTCCTGGGGAGCCTTGGAACATTAAATAATAAGAAGAAGAAGGGGGCAGGAAGTAATAAAATAAAATTTATATTAAATTTCATTAATCTCAAATAAATTTTAGTGGTGCCAGTTGACACCATCAGCTTCTGCTGTGTAAATTAATGCAAATAAAATTTGGGGCAAAATTACTTGAGCGTTTCTGTTCTCTATCATCTGTTTAATTCATTAGTTGTATTTATATCATTTTTGTTTTCCTTAAAAGAAAACAGAGGGCTAAAATAAAATTTATATTAAATTTCATTAATCTCAAATAAATTTTAGTGGTGCCAGTTGACACCATCAGCTTCTGCTGTGTAAATTAATGCAAATAAAATTTGGGGCAAAATTACTTGAGCGTTTCTGTTCTCTATCATCTGTTTAATTCATTAGTTGTATTTATATCATTTTTGTTTTCCTTAAAAGAAAACAGAGGGCTTTCCCCCACCGGCCATTTCCAACTGTCATTCCAACTGTGTACTCATTTTTTTCCTTAAAAGAAAACAGAGGGCGTTCCCCCACTTATGGAAGTGAAGCATCTCATCGGTGCCTCGTTCCTTGGTTGCAACGTGCGATTTCAACACACTAGAGCCCTTCCCCTCTGATTCCTACAATTGACCTGCAGGACAGTTTGGGCTGAGAGAGAGCTCTCAGCCATATGGAAACCAGAACCTCATTCTTCCAACTCCCATTTCACCTCTCTAACCACTAGGCTATTCTCCGGCTCTTTTTGTATTTTTATAGAGCAGGCTGCAGGAGAGTCCCTGGTTGACAAGATCTGAACTGTTTCCATTTACTGAGAGTACGAGCATATCTATGCTACATGCAGGCTTTTGTGCACTTGCTTTAAATCAATTTAATTCTTACAGCTTCTCCCCAAAGGATCTGGAAAATTGGTGAAGTATTGGGAACTGGGAAAGATCTCTGCCCTTTGCTTGCAGCATTAGAATCTATAAGGTTCTCCAGAGAGAGGAACAGTTATTAAACCAGCTCAAGGCTTCCACTTAGATATATCATAAAATAATTTCAAATAAATTCGTGAAGTCCTTTAAAATACACCCAACACCACCCCCACCCCTTTAGACGGTTGGTTTTAACTATATCCTGTGGCAAGCGTTTCCAATATCAAATGCAAACTGTGTGGAAAAAAGTTATTTCCTTTTGTTTCTTTTTGAACTTATCATATGTTAATGTCATCAGGGGCCCTCCTGTTTTTTATTATGCAGGTTAAGAATCTCCCTATCCTTTCCAACCCCAAACCTGTCATGAATTTACGTAGTACATATTCTCTTTCTCCCCCTCTCCCCTTCTATAAACTGCAAAATGATAATGTCTTTGAGTCTCTTCTCCTTGTCATATGAGAAGGGTAGAATTTAAACATCAAACTTGGCATTCGAGGCTCGAACCATCTGGATTTGGGATATGCACAAGTAAACTCAAAGTGTGAAAATCCTAAGATTTCTGTCCTCACCACAAACTGATGTATGCCTTGAGAGTTGGGTTTCTCCAATGGTTAGCAGCAAAGCATAAAGGTTATTAGTTTTCTGGACTACTTATCCCAGAATTTCCTCAGCCACCATGGCCAGGGTTCAAGTACACTGGCTGGGGGATCCTAGCAGTTACAGTTCTATATTCAACACTATATTCAACACTTGACAAGCGAGCATTCCATACTAAACAAAGATGCTTTTGCTCTGAGGCCAGTAAAATTAGTGATGAGTAAGCACGGAAAATTGAAAAATATCTAAAGGAAGGAGAGTGGTTGCAAAATGAACTTTTAGAGGAGCAAAGATTTAAAGGGGAGCATGTACAGGAAGTGGAAGGAAGGGCAAGTCATCAAGGTAAAGTACAAACAAGTAGCCAGGATTTGTAGGAAGAAGGTCAGAAGGCTAACGCTCAGCATGAGCTCAGAATTGCAAAAGAGGTTAAAAAACAAACAAACCTCCAAGCTGGCACTGGAGAAAGAACAAGAAAAGTGGTTTATAGAGAGGATGCAGAAATTGTAATGGGTCAGAGAGAAGGGCTACACACCTACGTTGCTCCTCTGCAGCCCAAGATCAGTAAAGAGGTAGCATGGCAAGTCCAAGCTGCTTTAAATGAATGCAAGCCTGCAGGGCCAGATGAACTGCATCTAAGGGTACAAAACGTAGATATATTCACAGAACCTCTATTATCTTGGAGAATGCTTGAGCAGTAACCAAGATCCTTGAAGACTAGAGGTGGCGAATGTCACACACGGACACCCATCTTTAGGAAGGAGGGGGAAAAAAGAAGATACAAGCAACTACTAACTGGTCAACTTGACATTGATACCAGAAAATATTATAGAACAGAAAATTTCCCCATCCAGATGGGGGAAGTCAGAGCGGTCGGGTTTTGCTTTAAAGGTTCTTATCTTCAGTGCAGTCTATTTTATCTCTCACTTGATCTATCCTTGATCCTTCTATTCAAACTGATTGATGTTTTCTGTCCAATGAGAATGGTCCAGACAGTTCTTTGGATTGACCCAATTTGCCCCCCTTTGATTAATGACACTCCCCTTCCCACCCTCTTCCTGTGCTTATCATTCAACAGGCATGACAACTTTCCTTTGTTTCATTGAATAAAGGAAGCAAAATAGCAATCCATTTATGTAGCATGGTGCACAATATACCACAAATATATCTTGCTTTTCTAAAATAGCACTACATCAATATAGATAGATAGATAGATAGATAGATAGATAGATAGATAGATAGATAGATAGATAGATAGATAGATAGATAGATAGA